TAATCGAGACATGCCACACGTGCTACCATGGGCATTAAGGAGAGAGGCGGGTTCTCCATTGAGCATTTTGAGAATCTTTTCAGCCGAGGCTTGACAGTTTTGTAGCTACTGCATGTAAGTTACTCATCCTGTGAAATTTTAACACTATCCATTTATTTACCTTTATTACTTTAATTCAGAAGGACATTTCGTTTACAGGTTATTTGGATCCATGACACAGTGCAGAGATCCAGCATCCATGTAACTCGCGGTTACGTTCTACATGGATGCTTAAAGTGCTTAGACGTTGTCGAACCCTATCATCCAGATATGAGTTTTGAGGCAGTTTGCAGGGTTCAAACCATCCAGATGCATCGCGCTAGCTCCCAGTCGTGTGTGCGCGAAGGCACACATATCTAACGATATACAGTCATGTACAGATACTTGGATAGGATCTGGAGCTTGGTAACCCAACGTGTTTATCGTGAGCAACGGAGGGCACACCAGTTCGGTCAGCCTTTGGCAATGTGTACGGGTTACAATGGATTGGTATGAAGATATACGCCCACTTATATGTCGAGCACACGATGAACTCGTGTCATGACCATCAGGACTTCAGCGAACATGCGGATGTAATCTATTATCCTCTCTTAGATCATACATATGTAAATTACTCTTTTTTTTTTTTGATATGTTCCTAAAATGTGATTTTCTTTATAATGCAGCGTATTAACATCATCGCAGATTTCACATCCTATATTGGCTGGTTATCAGGAGGGGATTCGACATCCTTATCTGATTTTACTAGCTATCGAGAGTATGACTGCATGTCCTTGAAGGTCAGCACATTGACATAGCTGGACCTACGTTTCTGCTAGAACCTAGTTCTGCTGGAGGTCGCTTTCCATCTTCGATCATTGCATACAGTCGTAGGCCTAGGCGTTATGGGGCATTACAGGGCTGATATCGTGACATGTTATTTTTGTTACATGTTATTTTGGTTAGTTGATGAATTTTTTTTGGTGTTTTTGTAAGATGACATTGTATTAATGGTAACAGTGGTTAATATTTTTATTACAATGGAATGGCAACAATGGTATTGTAATGACATTGTAATGACATTTCATTATTAAATGGAATGGTAACATGTCGTTAATTTTGTAAATGATATTTTCTTATATAATTGGATGGTAACAATGCGTCAACAACATTCATCCACATTGCAAATATAACACATCACATCAAAACACATCCATTAATTTCTTCCATAATCTACATTGTCTAATGCATACCATGTGTCAATGCGCATCCAACAACATCAAAAGTCTCTCGTAGGTAAGTACATTATTCCATGTGAACTAATGTGCCTTGAAAATGTTTGAATGCGACGCACATATGTCATCATCCCACGTCGATCAGCGTAAGGGTGAGGTTATTTTCTCCAATTAGTGGCAATAGGAGGAACTTGGATGCCCTGCGTGCAACAAACCTGCACCAAATATTAGATTTGCATTAGTGGTCAGTAAACCTACATGATAACTTTTCTTGTAATGCACAAACCCAATTGATAAGTTTCTGTTATTACTAGAAGAAAATGATTTTCGTGACAAACCAATGGGCAATCTCACGTTCTCATGTCTATCAAGTTGAGGTACTAGCACTGTTCTAAGAGGTAAAAAGGTGAGACATTGCTGTAATGACAAGTGGTATAACACAAGATTGTAGCACGATGCAACAAGATGCCCCATGTCTGGCATAGTCATCCAATGTGAGTATCCAAGACTGTCTTCAAAGTATGACAATATGTTTGTCAATTCTTCAAACCTTTCATAGGACCCATAAAGTGTAATGTATTCCTCTTTGTGTGTGTGCAGCTCACCCATGCTCTTTGACATATCCATTAACAATGCTTTCTCATCCTTTGATAGCCTCTCCGCATATGAATGTCCCTCGAAGTGCTCCGCAGGTGGATGATTATGCAATCCGCATACTACGGTCAATGTCCATTTATCATGTGTGGTAAACTTGTGAGCTCTCATATCAAAAGGACAACCACACTTCTTCGTACCGGTTATTCTTGATGTATTGTTGCCATCATGTTTTAACTTCTTTGTTGCTCTATATTGGCTACTCCTCTCACAAGCAAGATACATCCTAGGTCTTTTTTTCCCTCCACCATAGTCTGATGTTTTGATTACAATGACCAAACCATTTCTCTTTCCAACTTCACGTACCCGGTTGAGCAATTCATCCTTACTTTTGAATACCTACAAAGTTAAATAAATATTATCAAACATTTACATTTGGTGAGCAATTCGAAACATAATCGTTATAATTTCGTAGAGTGAACCTGTTCAGTTGTGAATTGAGTGGTGTAATCTAACACAAAATCCGCGCAAACCTGACTTCCTTGAGTTGACACATATTCCTGCATGTTTTGTATAACATTACAAATTTTTAATGGCATTATAAAGATTAATTTGCAGTTTGAAACTGTAAATTTGGTATGCAGTTTGCAAATTTGGAATATAAAATGGAAAAAAAAAATTTTTACTTCATTCGGAAGTAGTTGTCCAAATTTATTTTCAAATTTCGGAAGTTGAATGTTATAAAAGTTAACTTTGTTCGGACAACAACTTCCGAAATTTATTACTTTGTTCGGACAACAACTTCCGAAAATAAATAATTATTTCGGCAGTAGATTTCCGAACCAAATAACACAATTTGGCCCTGGTTATCCAAACGACGCTGGGAAAAAAAAAAATTTAAACTCACATTTCCTTCGCTCTGTTTCACATGAACACTTATTTGCTGATTTTCAGAAAGCAAATCCTCCATAACAATGATGTTTTCCCTACGAATGACGAAGGTTGATGAATGAGTGCATTGAGAAGCTACAGTGCATATGCAATACGGAAATGCCAAAGCCCTTTGGTTTCACTTCTAGCTCAATGAACTTGGAAGAAGCTATGAATGGCTCTGCTTTCACTTCTAGCTCAATGAAGCTACAAACACGATGCAACAGATGTGAACTCTAGAGGGAGGTATGCGTTGAGATGTTTTGAATTAACAATGGTGTCTAAAATAGTAATTTCACTTAGGGATACAATTGTAATAAAATTAAATATCATTAAGTGTGTGCACAGAGGGTATTTGGTGTGTGTAGATAGAAGCTCCCGCCTTCGACAGCATACTATCATCTTCATTCATTCTTAACACTGGTGCAGATTGTAGGCAATTAGACAATCTACAAACCTCTTCCTCCTCCCATGCAAACAAACCCCTTCTAAATTCCAAGTGCCACTCTCCATTTGAAAAGTTGTTTGTAACTGCATTGAACACAGAGATCTCCTTAATAGTAGACAAAGCAAATAACCTGGGAAATAATTCCTTCAGACAAAATCTCGATTCCACGTATCATGCCAAATCAAACATCTCCCACCATTTCCCAATTGAATTTTAACCATTGACAAATAAAAATTAAACATGTTCGGATTAAAATTTGACGATGATATTATATCCTTCCACACTCTTGATATACCAAATTCAGCATTGAAACTAGGAAACCAGCTCCCCCTTCAAATGAACACTTGCTACACAGTATGTCCCTCCATAAAGCCTTCTCCTCTGCCCCAAACCTCCACCACCATTTTAGGAGGAGACACTGATTGACATCCCTTATTCTTCTGATCCCAAGCCCTCCCAGTTCAACACCTTTTGCTTCCTCCTTCCATTTTACCAAATGAATCTTATCCAATTCCTTTGCTACTCCTTCAGGTATTCTAAATAATGATAAGTAATAAATGGGGAGATTAGATAACACTGCTTTATGAGAGTTCATCTTCCCCCAAGGGAGAAAAACCTCATTTTCCAACTATCTGTAGGACAATCTTCACTGTATTTAAAAAGATTAAATTCTGTTGTGTACAAAACAACAACAAGAATAAAAGAAATAGAGAAAAGGAGAGAATTTGTTTGATTACAAAAATCAAACTCGAAATAAAAATAAATAAATAAAATAAAAACCACAGATTTATTTTGTTACAAAACAACAAAATTAAAATCTGATTAAATAAACAAATAAAACAGAATTAAATTAAACAACTTACTTGTTAATTTATATGAATAATTTTTCTGATCAAGGCAGTGTTTAACACTGTGTCCTTAAGACAGATTCGTCCTCTCCACGGTGCTTTCAGAATTTTGACTCTTTCTCCAGGATGAAATGATCTACCAACAAACAATAGCAGCCACTACAAATTTGTTTTGCTCTTAACGAAAGCACACTAAGTGTTTACTACTCTTTCTTTCGAAAATAAAATGCAGCAAGATGAAGAATATAATTTGCAGAGGATGGAGTACGAAAAAAATCCAGTAAAATCCAAATGGGAGGGTAGTCTATTTATAGATGTAAAGGTGGCTTTTGGTTTTGAATTGAACAGGTATGAAACCTGTTAGATTCAAATTTAAACAGATTTGAATCTGTGTTTAATTCTGTTTGAAAACGGGAAGGGCCCTGTTTGGATGAACAAAAAATCCAAACCAATTTAATTTGAATTTTGGATTTTATTTTAATAAAAAATTAAATTAAATTCAAATGTTACCACACACCACGCACCCGCGCCCAAGCCCAGTCCGCCCGACCGGACGGCGGCGGCGGCGCGCGCGTGGTTTTTTGGGTCCAATGGGTCTAGCCCATTTTGCCCATAACCTCTCCCTCTAAAACACTTGGGTACCCCTTGGGGCACACCCCAAGTATCTCACCCTAAGCCTTATAAACCCTTTCAAAACTTCCCACCAAATCAATGTGGGACAAGCCAATTTACAACCTTAAGGAATTTCCACCAAAACTCCATTTCCATGGAGCACACTTTGGCTTCAATTTCCCATTCACTCGGTAATGGTTTTGAGCAACCACATATACCACGTGAATCACAACGCGGCATAGAACGCGTTACCACTTTGACCCGAGTAAATCGACACTCGGGGCCCACCTAAAAAATAAACCGAACTTAGGAAAAAATTCTGGTTTTATCCAGAATTTTATAACCATTTCCAACACTATCCAGCTTCGATTTAATGTTCTTTACCACTGGATTCCATGTAGATTTCCTTCTAGGATTTCCTTCTAGGACTAGGCCCAAGAGGCAATCCTAGAAACTTGAAAGGTTATTTCTCCCTAACACAGTTCAACACTACAGCAAACTCCTCAACAACCTCCTCCTCCACACCCACCCCAATTACCATGCTTTTGAAATAATTAATTTTAAGACCAGACACAAAGCATCTTCTTGGTTCAAAAAGTTTTACCACAACTATTTATTGGACAAAAAAGATAAAATGCCAGTCCAAGAACTATTTATTGGACAATAAAAGATAAAATACCAATCCAGTTTATTGCAATACTGCAGGAATTAAGATCCTTCTGTAGATTTTGACTCAAGCCTGTTGCCCAATCTTTCTTCTTTCAGCTCAGTGAGTATTTTCTCAAGCTTTGTAAGCCTAGTTTCAAGTTCCTGTCCTGGTATTTCAAATATAATCCCGGTGTTTGCTGCTCTACTCACATTTGCACTTACCAAAACTGTCTCCAATTGTTCCACCATTGGTTCCCTGCTCACAACCATTTTCCCCATGTTCATCAACCACTCCACTAACTAAAGATTTCCATTATCAGAAGTTGAAGACTATAGATTTTGCTTCAAATGCTTATTGTTGTCACCTCTTTGTTTGTTCTTGACAAGTTTAGTTACTGTAAGCCTACCGTCAGGATCAAAATCACTTGCTTTAGTCATAATGCAATTGGAAGCTAAGAAGCATGGACAAGTGACATGACATGGACATGTGGTCATGCAAATTTTCAAAAAATATAGGATGCGACATGTTGGGGACACATGCAAAATATACAATTTTATGTGCCATATCTTTAAATATTTAATATTTATTTTATGTCAAATATTTAATTTTATCAAATTTATTGACCTTACCATAGTAAACAAAATTTTAATTTTAATTTTTTTGTGGAAAAAAATAGTCCTCAGCATGTCCCCAACATGTCTGCAACGTGTCCCAAGTGTCCTAGCGTGCCAACACTTGTACGTCACCTCCCAAGACATGTCTGCTTCATAGATCGGGAGAAAAGCCTGTGGGAACATGAGGATCCTTATTAGTAATTTTACAAATGCAATGGGGAGTGAAGCCAATAGGAATACTTGATGTTTCCCTGGTGCATTTAGGAAGAAAGCCAGGAGGAATATCATATATTTTCCCAGTAGATTTGGGAGGAAAGCCAGGAGAAATATCTGACGTTATCCCGGTGCATTCGGGAGGAATATATGACATTTTTCTGATGAATTTGGGAGGAAAGCCACAATGATCAAAATCTTCCATCTTTTGATAAGGGCTTTGCTGTCACTTTTCAAGCCATTATACTTTTTCATCTCTATATTTCCCATTTCAACAACATGCTTAACTTTTGATTTTTCTCACCAATACAAGTATTGAGTGGTTATAGCAAATTCAAAGAATCTCGATGGAACATACAGTTTTTCACCAGTAGTAGGCCTGACATAGTTTTCTAAGCAATTTTACAGTCACATTAGCACGAGCAACAAAACCTAGAAGATCTTGATCCATTCCAAATTGCATTGCCACACGATGTGGAAAATACTGCTATAAGTTGTCGAATCCAATCAGCTCACAAACCCTCAAACACCTAACGAAGGACTAAAAATCTTTATCTAAACCAGAACCAATCAGCACCCACTCTTCCTTCTCACTATAAAACTTGTGAAACAGCCTATTGTTCATATCCATCACATATGGGCGCCATTGAAAACACTCTCTATCCCATTCTATAGCCTTTGTGTTGGCTCAGATTCTAAAAGCCAAGCGAGTGGACAAGTTGTTTGCAAAGAACAAGTTGGCAAGTTGCCAATACAAATTTGTCCCCAAGAATTTTTGTATGAATAGGGGTGCAAGTGGTATGCAAGCAAGTGTGAGCAGTGACGGAGTCACATGGGGTCCAGGAGGGTCACGGGCCCTCTTGGTTTTGAATTTTTTTTTTTTTTTAGCAAATTTAAAGAAAATATTTTAAATAAAAAAATTATGAAATATTATTTAGAGTAAAATATCAATGACATTTTTAAATTATAAAAATAATAATGGTTTTTTTTTATTGAAAATAAAAATATTACGATAAGTCATATTATTATCTATGGAAATTTCAATGTGATGTCTATCATTATTGACATATAATTATAATTAATCTCAATAACGATATGAAATTTATTGAATTATTAGTTACATTTGACATGTAAGATTCATGCTTTATATGTTTCTTTACTATTAATTGGTGATATCATATGTCAATGATGACGTGATATTACTATTATATTGAATTTTTACTAAAATTTTATATAAAAAATTATTTTATCCTTATATAATTGATTTTAAAATTTATATCCATGACTTTTTTTTTAATATTGTCCATAATATACTAATTACAAATAATATTTATATTTATCTTTCTTAAAGTCAATCGTAAAAATTCATGTAAAATATTTTTGTAAAATTTTTTAATATTATAATTAATAAATGTCCCTCTAATTTAACTTCTTGCTCCGCCACGCCACTGGGTGTGAGCAAAGAATGACAGAAAAGAGTGAGAGATTGTATTGTGAATTCAACTCTTTTCCAATCTAATTGGTGTAGAGAGAATGTGATGGAAGATTGAAGACTGGCTCTTCAATGGAGGTGATGAAAGGTTTCAAGAAATGGGCAATTCTGCAAATTGGGTTTTCACCAGTTTGAGAAACCATTTGCTCTCGTCTCTCTTCCATGATGGTGTACTCTCATGGGTTTGCCATTGATAGAGATTCAAGCTCTCTTGATTCTGAGAAAGAAAGAGAGAAAGAGAGATAGAAAAAGAAAGATGAGAAAAAAAGAGATATATAGAGATTACAAAGTGAGCGGAGTGTGAGAGTGAAAGGAAAGAGAGAGATAGAAAGAAAGAGAAGGGAAAAGATAGATATATAGATCAAAAATGTTTCATGTGCCTTTTTCTCTCCACCCCTTTGACTCTTTCTCTCTCTCTCATTGGTTATATATATATATATTGAGAGGGTAATTTATGATCTGGAGTTGGGCCGAGGTGACGGCCGAGCAGGTTGAGGGCCCAACGCTGTATGGGGCCGAGCTGATCATAAATTAAATAATTAGGTTGTTTTGAAAATTAAAATTCAAAATGGGTCAAAAACATATTTGAAAAGTACATTTGAAATTAAAAAATAATAATTAAGAAAATGTATTTCGTGAATACGTTTTAGTTAATTAATATGTTTTACGAAACATGTTTTTTAATTAATTTTTTAAAAATTTTAACAGAAAACGTATTTAATATGTTTTCATGAAAATGTATTTACAATACATTTTGGCCTATTATGGAATGGGTAAATTACAAATACACATTATGAGATTTGCTTAAAATATAAATTGCCTTATATGGTTTAAAAAATTACAAATATCTCCTTATTAGAATTTATTATTTATCAGAATTAATTAAAAAAATAAAATTCATAATTGCTCTCATATACAATAATAAAATTACTTAAATTATTAATTGAAATATATTTTTAACATCATTAAAAACTATTAATTGACTTAATGATTTATTAATAAAATAGGCTATTTATTATGAAATTAAAAATCTCAGGGGTGGAATGTAATTTTCAAAATCACAGGGGCGATTCATATTTTAATCAAACCTGAAAAGATGTATTTGTAATTTATCCCTTATTACAGAGAGTTAAGGACAGATGAGATGATTGAGATAAATTAAATAAATAATGACAGATGATAAGGTTAGGTGTCACTTTATATCATTCTATGAAAAAATATATATATATATCATTATTGAGAATCTCATCTAAATTACAGAAATCCATCTAAATTGGAAAAGAGAGATAAGGATTAACCTGCGAAGGGAATATCATTAAATGCATATTAGTTATTGGTGTGGTGATGGACCAATTAATTTTTTTTTGTTGATTTAAACTGTGAAATTTATCATTTTTATGTTATTTTTGACGGCACAACCAATCAAATGTTCCAAGTTGAATAGTGTAAAACAAAATTTCGACATTACTACATATTTTCAAGTATTAATTAAAGTATATAAGAGTCATCTCTAATCTTATTTTTACGTATAAAAATGGCGGCTTGTACGATATTATAATGATTGATTTTGTAAGTGATTTTAATAATAGGAAGTCAACCAATCATTACATATAATATGCCTGATAATATATGATAAAAATTATATCTAATTATGAGATAATTGAAATTTATTGACTAAATCAATAATTACCTAGTAATTTTAGTGACATGTCATTTTTGTGGGTATGAGATTTGAGACATAAATGGCATCCCACGTTTCAATTCATGTGGTACTAGCCTTGATTGTTTTTCAAACCACGACTGATGGATAAATTAAAATTAATAAATTAGCATGTCATTAAATAATATAAAGTTCAATATCTATACATTGTGTTCATATTTTATTGTTTTTAATTATGTCTAGTCCATTGAGTAAATTTGACTAAAATGATTCACTAAAATGTGAGATCATATCAACTATTTTTTAACTGGTAGTTACTTGCGATAAAATCTCACAATAAATTTGTCAGGTTTTGACTAGAGAGTTCAGGACAGATGAGATGATTGAAATAAATTAAATGAGTGATAATAGAAGATAAGGTTAAGTTTCACTTATAACATTCTTTGGGGAAAATTTTTTTTATCATTATTCCAAATTTTAAATCTACATAATTGGGTTCACATGATACATTTTTCTCAGACACCAATCTATTGGTAATGTGGTCAAAAAAAGATCTAGAAATCAGATTAGAGGCAAATTGGATTCAAATTTTCAATGAAATGTCATATTTTTCTACCAAGCAATCTCATGAAGAAGGACAAGGGCTCTCTATATAATTTATATAGAAATTGTAGATTTGAAGATCGTATTTCTTTGAATAATATGTGATTCAAGAACTAGAATTTAAATGGAACAACGCATGTCCGTAGTAAATAGAGTCAAATGCATACTACTGATAAAATTAGCAAAAAAAAGATGGAATTAAGAATGATGTATAAAATACTAGCAATCATGACAAAAATGAGTAGGTAATCACAAATAAAGTATACATAAAGGAAATCAGACTTGAAAAAGAATACAAAAGTTAATATAAAAAAATGGAAACAATTACATATTTTGGGAGAAAGAAGGGCAGGACAAGAATAAATCAGAAGTGCTGTAGTAAGAAAACAATAAAGAAAACTAAGGGAAAACACTGCCAAAAAAAAATAAATTTGCATGATAGGGCCATAGAAGTTGTCTAAGAGCAAAGCAGAAGAAGTAACAAACTGAATATATCAAAGTTCAACCAGTTCAAACACAAACAACGTGAAGTTCACAAAGCATATTTTTGGAATAACAAAGTTTTATCACAACTATTTATTGGACGAGGACGACGATGACAACAACAAATTTTATAAAATAAAATAAAAAAGAAAAAAAAAAGAAAGAAAAACAATCTAAGAACTATTTATTGGACAATAAAAGATATAATACAAATTTAGTCTATTGCAATGCTGCACCAATTAAGATCCTTCAGCAGATTTCGACTCCAAACTTCTGCCCAATCTTTCTTCCTTCAGCTTAGCGAGCTTTATCTCAAGCCTTGTAAGCCTTGCTTCAAGCTCCTGTTCCGATATTTCAGATACAATTTCGGTGTTTTCTGCTCCACTCACGTTTTCACCTACCACAACTCTCTCTGATCGTTCCACCACTAGTTCGCCGGTCCCAACCATTTTTCCCAGGTTCATCAACTGCTCCACTGATTGAAGATTTCCATAATGATTTTCCCTTTCTCTATCTCCTATTTTGACAACACGCTTAACTACTGAACTTTCCCACCAGTACAGGTATCGCGTGGTTACAGCAGATTTAAAAAATCGTGATGGAATATACAACTTTTCACCCGTAATAGGCCTTGTGTAATTTTTCCAAGCAATTTTAAGAGTCGCATTAGCACGAGCAACAAAACCCGGAAGATCTTGATCCATTCCAAATTGCATTGCCACGCGATGTGGCAAATACTGCTCTATGCAGCCGAAACCAATCAGCTCACAAACCCTCATACACCTAGCAAATGACTCAAAATCTTCATCTAAACCAGAACCAATCAGCAACCACTCTTCCTTATCACTATAAAACTTGTGAAACAGCCTATTGTTCATATCCATTGCATATGGGCGCCATCGAAAACACTTTCTATCCCATAATATAACATTACCCACAAGCCCGGGATTCAGCTTCTTCGCCTTGTCCCATTTTGCTAATCTGGGCAAACCATTTCTAATTGATTTCGGGCTTGGTCTCAAATTTGAAAATCTCTCCCAAACCCAAATCTGAATCAATTGAAAAGGAGCCCAGAGTACCAATGTAGGTAGTTGATTAGTCTCCAAATTATTTGAAACAGTTACAATCCTTTGTTTTAACAATTTCAAATCTTTGTAAAGACTAGCAAGAACAGCCGGGGCGAGAGCAATTTTATTACCGGAAGCTAGAAGAATAGCAATGGAAAATACATGTTTTCCAACAGTATCAATTGGACGTGATGGGAAAACAAACCTCGACAACCAGGCGGCGAGAAAAGCTTCGTGCTCGATTTGGTTGCCGGTTTTCATGAATTTTTTGATCCAAGCAGCTTGTGCTGCCTTTTTGCTTGAACTTCTTCCGAGTTTTAATCTCTCGTGGAGCAATTTATCTCTGATTTCTTCCTTTTCTTTGGATGCAAAAGAACACAAAACAGAGTTACCCAAAACAGAGTAACCCCCCAAAACGATCATGTCTTCGAGAGTGATCGTTGATTCCCCGAAAGGAAACACAAATGTATTGGTCTCCGGGCACCATTTTTCGGCAACTTTGCAAACCAAATCATGGTCACTTCGGATTTTGTTTGTTGTGCTCAGTATTGCATCGTGAATTCCGGCTCTTTTCCAAGCTTCTTGGTGCAGAGGATACATGTGATTGACCCATTCTATCCATGTATCTGGTGAGCCTTTCCAACCATTGAATTCAACCTTCAATGTTGATTTCTTGGCCTGGGAAGTGGGGGTTGCAGAGGAGAGAGAATCTGATGGAAGATTGAAGACTTTCACTTCAATGGTGGTGACGGAAGGTTTCAAGAAATGGCCAACTCTGCGAGTTGAGTTTTCACCTCTAGGAGAAACCATCTGCTCTTGTCTCTCTTCCATGATGGTGTACTCTCTTGGGTCTGCCATTGATAGAGATTCAAGCTCTCTTGATTCTGAGAAAGAGAGATATAGAGATTATAGAGTGGGCGGAGCGTGAGAGTGAGAGTGAGAATGAGAATGATAGAAAGGAAACAGAGATATATATAGCGAAAGAAAGAGGAGGAACAGAGAGAGAGAGAGAGAGAGATACGAATTAGATTACAGAGTGGAGTGCAAGCGTGAAAAGGGGTGGACTGAGATGGCAATTATTAAATTTTTATCTAATTTAAATTGTAAAATTAATATTCTTTTTTGTTACTTTTTAATTTTATGGCACAATTAATGAAGTGTCCTAAGTTGAATAACATAAAATAATATTTTGACATTATCACATATTTTCGCATATTAATTATGGTAGGAAGTTGAATAACATAAAATAATATTTTGACATTATCACATATTTTCGCATATTAATTATGGTAGGAGAAATTCTTAATTTTGTTTTTACATATAAAAATGACTCTGTGTATCATATTTTAATGATTGATTTTGTAAGTAATTTTGATGATGGAAAGTCATCCAAACATTATGTATTATTATGCCATAGATAGATGTTGATATGTTGTGTACAATTTAGCCACCATATAATTAATATGAACTAAAAAAATTATTGATAAATTGCAATAATATAATTGATATGGATATGGGGTCACTGTTATGCTAAAGACACAACAATGACTGTTATGTCTCAATTTGAAGTGTATTATAAGCTTATTTTTATAATCCGAACTATTCATTTTGTAGAGTTTGTTGAGTACTTTATGCCTACGAAAAATTATAGTAATCGGATATCAATAACTATATGATCGATAACCAAAACAATAAACAATAAGTTTTTCTTTTGAGAAATAGCATAAAAAATATGCAATTTGATCTTATAATTATTGATATCCGATTAATATGATTTTTTGTAGGCATGAAGTACTCAACAAATCTCACAAAATATACAGTTTGGATCATAAAATAAACCTATAATACACCACAAATTGAGGCACAACATTTCCAATTGATATGCTTAGTAATATATGAATGCAAGTGATATTGATAAATAGAGATAGAAAGATGAGGGAAGAGAGAGAGGGAGAGAGAGAGAGAAAAAAAAGGGTGTGAGTGTGAATGGGACTAACCTCATTAAATGCGTATTACGTGTTGATGGGGTGGACCAATTAAATTTTTTATCAATGATGCTATATGCACCAATTGATATATTAATTAATATACCAATTAGTATATTAACAAATGATATAATATAATTTTAGAGATTTTGAGTCTTTATAGTTTTTATAATAGATAGGGTCTACAATTTTGAAATGGTAATATATGAATTAAGAAAATTGTCGATAAATTACAATAATATAGTTGATGTGCCTAGTAATATATGAATACGAGTGATATAGATACATAGAAAAAGATGAGGGGAAAGAGAGATATAGAGAGAGAATGGTGGATTGACCTCGATGGCAATCATTAAATGCGTATTAGTTCTTAATGGGAAGGACCAATTAAATTTTTAATTGATTTAGATTGTGAAATTTATCATTTTTTTTTTGTGTGTGTGTTACTTTTGATGGCACAACCAATCAAGTGTCCTAAATTGAATAGCGTAAAATAATATTCCGACATTGCTACATATTCCCACAAATTAATTAAACTAAGAGGAATCCTTAATTTTGTTTTGACGTATAAAAATGATGGGGTGTACCATATTGTAATAATAGATCTTGCAAGTAATTTTGACGATGGAAAGTCATCCAAACATTACATATTATTATGGGATAGATAGATATTGATACATTGTATATAATTTAGCCGCCACATAAGTAATATGAATTAAGAAAATTATTTATAAATTGCAATAGTATAATTGATTTTCCTAGTAATATATGAATGCAAGTGATATAGAGATATAGAGAAAGATGAGGGAAAATAGAGATATAAAGAGAGAAGGGTGTGAATGTGAATAGGACTAACCTGAATGGCAATCATTAAATGTGTATTAGATGTCGATGCGGTGGACCAATTAAATTTTTTATTAATGGTACTATATGCACCAATTGGCAGTATGCCGCATATGTATGACATTACCATTTCAAAATTGTGGACCCTACCCATTATATAAATTATAAACATCCAAAACCTCTAAAATTATGCTATCATCCGTTAGTACACTAATTGGTATACCAATTAGTGCATATAGATTGTGAAAATTATCATTTTTTTGATACTTTTGACGGCACATCCAATGAAGTGTCCTAAGTTGAATAGCGAAAAGTAATATTCCGACATTACTACATATTCCTGCATATTAATTAAGGTAAGAGGAATCCTTAATCTTGTTTTTACGTATAAAAATGACGACGTATACCATATTGTAATGATTGATTTTGTAAGTAATTTTGGTAATGGAAAGTCATCCAAACTTATACATGATACTAGTGGATTGAAATAGTAAATAATAAAATAAGAAGAGAAAGATCACCTACTACACTCCACCAAACCTACCTCCACCACTCACTCCTATCACCTACTACACTCCACCAAACCTACCTCCACCACTCACTCCTCACCTACTCCAGAATCATCTCCTATATAATAGGAATTCTTGTACAAAACATCAATACAACAATCTTGTAATATATTAGTCAATAATACTTGAATTTTAACACAAACATTACCTATTATTATGCAATAGATAGATGTTGATATGTTGTATATAATTTAGCCGCCGCACAATTAATATGAATTAAGAAAATTACCAATAAATTGCAATAATATAATTGATATGTCTAGTAATATATGAATGCGAGTGATATAGAGATATAGAGAAAGACGAGGGAAAAGAGAGAGAAGAGTGTAAGTGTGAATGGGATTGAATGGCAATCATTAAATGCGTAATCATTAAATGTGTATTAGTTGTTGATGGGTAGACCAATTAAATTTTTTATTGATTTAGACTGTGAAATTTATTATTTTTATGTTATTTTTGACTGCATGACTGATCAAGTGTCCTAAGTTAAATAGCGTAAAATAGTACTTTGACATTACTACATATTTCCGCCTATTAATTAAGGTATATAAGATGAATCCCCAATCTTGCTTTTACGAATAAAAATGATGACTTGTACAATATTGTAATAATTGATTTTGTAACTAATTTTGATGTCGGGAAGTAACTAATTTTGATGTCGGGAAGTCAACCAATCATTGCGCATAAATATGATAGAAGTTTGAATGTCACATGTAATTTGGTTGCCACATAAACAATATGACTAAAACAAATTCTCAATAAATTGCAATAATATAATTAATATACCTAATAACATACAACGACCATATCTAGTCACGAGATAATTTAAATTTATTGACAAAATCAATAACTACCAAGCAATTTAGATGACATGTTGTTTTTATGAGTTTGAGATTTGAAACTTAAATAACATTCCGCATTTATAACTAAGTCGTAAATTTCAAATCACATGGCTACAAGCCCTTGATTATTTTTAAAACCACGACTTATGGATAAATTAAAATTAATAAATTATCATGTAGTTAGATAATATAAAGTTCATTATATATATGTTGTATTTTATATTTTTTATTATGTCTAATCGGTCGAGAAAACTTGATTAAAATGATTTATTGAAATGTAAGATCGCGTCCTACTTTTTAACGGCGAGTTACTTAGAATAAAATCTCTTAATAAATTTGTTCAGTTTTGACTATGGAGAGTTAAGGACAAATGGGATAGTTGGGATACAATAAATGAGCATTAACAAAAGATAAGATTAAGATTCTCTTGCAATTATTTCAAGAGAGTAGGATAAATCTCATCTAAATTATAGTCATCAATTATAGTCATATATCCTATTTTATTTTATTGTTTTTATGTAATGAGTTATCTCTTACTTATCTAGCACACAAACAATAGTTTAAGGGTTCTGCACTGCACCTTATAAAAAAAATACATATATATATATATGATTTTTTGAAAATTTGTTAAAATAGTTGAGTTTGATTATACAGTATATACCATCGTAATACAAATCACAAAGTTTCATAATATTTTTACACTGAATTTGCTTGTCAAACTTCATGATAAGTGTTTTTATATGCTTATCTATTTTCAACTTGATTAATTGCTAACCATTACCACTGCCAACATTACTAATACTAATATAACTAGCAAATTAGTTTCAAAGTAGCAACTAGTACGACAATAAATTAATGTGTTAAAGACTACAACAAAATAATAATAATAATAATAATAATTAGGGATAAATCATTTTTTAGGAAGAAAATATCTTAATGGATACTTTTTCAGTAAATCCATTATCTAAGAGTGTTATTGTGTTTTATAATATTCCATTAGGTTCATTTCATACCAAATGACCAAAAAAATCCTCAAACAAACACGTGCATCTCTCTCTCTTTGAATCTAATAACCGTCTCTCTTTCCTTCCCCTCTATTCTTGCGTAGGAAATCACGCACAATATCTCTACCATTCCAGAAATCCAAATCCGTATTCCATATCGCCTCAACGCCTAGAAGATTGCCTTTGTTCCATCGTTGCATCGTCGCATCGTCTCATTATCTTCTTCGTCGTCCCTACGCCGTCGATCGCCGAAATCATGGAATCACCATTGTTGAACATCCGTAAGGTCTATGTTCATCAAAATCACCTTCGAAGACTATTTGTGACAACGCAACCGTCGAAATGGGCAAAAAAACATAAGCATTCTACTCATTCGTGTATTTAAACCCTAAATCTCTTTATCAACAAACAACATTGTGAACTTTCACAAATATCCTATGTTTCTATGCATACAATATATAGAAGTCCATATTATTCATACCCTAACCTTAAATCTGAACTCCTCAATCGTAATCCCTAATTATATTGATTTTTTCAGTCAAAAATATTACAGTTACCATTATGTTGTGTTCACAACTGTGAACATTCAAATGGTTTGGAAAGATGTTGGCCAAACCAAATTGTTTCTGTTGTTGTCGTTGTTGTTGAAAGTCGTGAACAATCACATTGATTAAAAATGTTTAGATAATCAAATTATTCCAGATGTTATTG